TGCTTGGAATGCTGGAAGAATGAATTGTGGCAATTTAGCTATTATTCAAGGTTATTCTCAATCAATATTTATGTTACTAGTTTCATCATCACTCCCTTGGTTAGTATTTATTTACTTGATTAAACCTGTTATGTCAATATCTTCTACTTTTTCTCCAAATGTATTAGAATTTTCTATTGGAAGTTTATTCTTTCTTATCATTATTCATTTGTTATTATCACTTAATAACACTAATGTTGCTATTGGTAAAAAATTTGGATTTACTCTTCTTATGGTTTTTATGTTCTTATTTGTTTTGGTTCTAATCCCTCCTTTTCTTTTGTCCTTTTAACTAAAACACGCTTTACTCCTTGATTCTCTTAATTGAACTTCTTCTTTTTCTTTCTTTTTATCTTTTCTTTATCATATATCTCTTTCATTCATGTCTTTCTTATTTTTATTATCTTCAAAACTTTGACTTTATTTCATTACTTATCAATTCCCCTCTTTTTTGTTCTTTTATTTCTTTTCTCTCTAATCTTTTTGTTTATCATTCCATTATCATCTTTTATGTCTTTTTCATTAAATCTTGCCATTCTTGTTTTGTCTCTTATGAACTAGTTGTTTATTTCCTCTCTCTTATTTCTTATTGCTCAATTAGGAGTTTTCTTATTAATTTTCGTAATAATGTCAATTTAGGATAATATAAATAGGAGAATTTAGAGGAAATAAAGTAGCAATTAAGAAAATGAAGCAAATGAAGAAGAAGTGATGACGTTAGATAAATTTCGAGATGAAGATATCATTCAATTTTATGGAGCAGTATTTATTCCTAATAAAATATGTAATGATAATAGAATATGAAGAATAAGAATCAATACAAGATATAATGAATAAAAGAAACGTCACAAAAATACCAAAGAGATTAAGAATCAAATTTATGATAGATGGAGCAAAAGGAATTTCATATCTTCATTTAAACTGAGTGTTACATCGAGATAATAAACCAGATAATTTCCTCCTTGTTGTACCATTTGATGATAATATTGAAGTTAATTGTAAATTAACGAATTTTAGAAGTGCAAGAAACATCCATATGAAGATAACAAATATAATGTTGACAAAAGGACAAGTTTCTATAAATTAAAATGACTACAAAAAGAAATAATAACATGGTGTTTGGATAGTTTATAGAGATAGAAGTTAAATTAAAAAAGGAGAGGTTAAATTCAAAGAAAACTAAGAATAAACTAGAAACATAAAAGTACAAAGAAGATGAAAAGAGATGATAAAAGAAGAGGAGTTAGAAATAGAAGAAAATATAAAAAAAGGATATAAAAAGAAAGGAAAAGAATAATAATAGCAGAAGAATTAAAAAGATATAGAATGGAGGAAGAACCAAAAAAGATGATAAGATGTATAATATAAAAAAAGAATAAAACAATAACATAAAAACTATTTTATTTTGTTTTTAAGGTTAATTATTGAATATCCAATACTGTCTGAGAGGAAAACTAAAAAAAACACAAAAGAAGAACAAAAATAAATGTGAATTTCAAATAATTTTGAAATTAAGAACAATAATACTCAAAAGAATGGAAAGAATCAGGAAACATACCAAAATATAAAAGCTTTTTTTAACTAGAGTTTGGAATGGAAAAAGAAAGGAAAAAAAGAAATAAAATAACTAAATTTTCAGATGAATAGCGATTACCCTGCAACATTTCCTGAAAGATATGAAGTAAAAGATCCATTAATTCTTGAAGCTGACTCACAAATTGACCGAGAAAAAGTACAGCTTGTTTCGTGGTTAAATAAAGAATTATTAACCGATAAAAAGATAACACAAGAATATAAATATATGCCAATTAAAGAAGAAGGAAATGATTTTTTTTATGCATTGAGTGATGGAGTTATAGTTAAACATATAATTAATAAATTTTATAACCAATATAATATTGATGTTAAATATGGGAAGGCTGGACTTATTTCTAAGAATGCTAATATCACTAATGTCATTAAAATCGCTAATATTATTCTTTCAAAAGGAGTTACTATTAGTGAAAGTAATTTGTCTACTCCTAATAAAACTACAGCGTCATTAGTATTAGGATTTATTTGGATGTTATTTGATAAATTCCAAGAAAAAGATATTAAATTATCTATGAAAGAGAAAGGTGTTGATGTTTCTATGGAAGAATTTTTGTTGAATTGGGTTAATAAAGCACTTGAGGAAGAAGGAGTTGATAAAAGAATCAATAATTTCGGAAGTGATATTAAAGATTCAGAAGCATATCTTTATTTACTTCATCACCTAAATAATAATTGTTCATTAGAAGCATTAAATAGTTCTAATTTGATTGTTAGAGCTACAAGTGTTCTTGAAAATGCAAATCTTTTAAATGCAGGTTCATTTGTTGAGCCTCAAGAAATAGTAAGTGGAGATAGTACAAAAAATTTTAGATTTGTAACTAATTTATATCAAACAGTGAATGCCCCAAAAAAAGAGATTTCTAATGAAGAATATCAAGACGAAGAAGAAATTCGTAAAAAAAATGAAGAAAAAGAACAAAAGCTTCAAGAAGAAAGAGAAGCAGAAGAGAAAAGAAAGAAAGAAGAAGAAGAAAAAAAGACAAAAGTAGAAAAAATGAAAGAAGTTGATCAATTGAAAGAAGAAGTTATTAAAAAAGAGAAACAAAAAAAGGCAGATGAGATTCATCAAAAATTAGATGAAGAAGAACAAAAATTAGCTGAAGCACAAGCAGAGATTGAAGAAAAGAAAGCACTCAAAGCAAAGGTAGATGATTTAATTCTTTTGTCTAAAGTACAAGATTCTAAAGATGAAAAGGAAGCATCGAAAAATCTTATACAAGCACAAAGAGAAACTAAAAAAGCAGAAATTGAACAACAAAAACAAGAAGAAGAACTTTCTAGACAAGAAGAAGTATTAAGAAATTTAATTGAACAAAAAAAGAAAGAAGCTGAGTCAATTGATTCAATTGCTAGTTTAGACAATACTCAAGTTGCTGAATTAACACAAAATGTTAATCAAGAAAATATTCAAATTAAAGAGGAATTAAATAAGACTAAAGAAGATGTGAATACAGCTAAATCAGATTTAGTTGCTATGCAACAAAAAACATTACAAGCAGAAATTGATAATGAAGAAACAAAGAAAGAATTAGATGCTACTACTAAAAGATTACTTGCTGAACAAGAAAGAAAACAAGAAAGAATTGAACGAGAAAAACAAACTGTTAATGAAATGAATGCAAAGATTGAAATGTTTGAAACAATGAATGATGAGTTAATGAAAACTGTACAAACACAAAAAGATGAAATTATAACTAAAACTGACACATTAACTGATATTGAAAGTACTAATTTAGAAAATAAAAAGAAAGAAAAGAAAATGATGATGAATATTGAAAAACAATTCAAACTACTTGAACAACAAAAAACTCTTCATAAAAAGAATCTTGCTAAAAAAGAAAAATTAAGAAGTGAAACACAAAAACTTGAAAACGAGAAAAAAGTTGTACAAGCAGATATCAAAACGATTACAATGGAAAGAGAAAGTACTGAAAATCGTGCAGATAATCTTCTTACAAAACAAGATGAATTAAATGAAAAATTAATTGATGCAGAAAATGCTAATGTAGATGCAGATTCAGAATTACAAGATGAACAAGAGAAATTAGATCAAATGAATGAAGAAATACAAATGAAACTTGAACATCAAGAATTTATAGAAATTCAAAAACTCAAAAACGATAAAAAATCAAAAGAAGATGAGAAAAAGAAATTAGAGAAAGAACGAAAGAAAAAGAGAAGTGAAGCAAAGAAAGCTAAAGAAGAGTTAATAAAATTAGCTGAACAACAAAAAGAATATGAAAGACAGAAAAAAGATTTAGAAGATAGAAAGAAAGAGAATGAAGAACGATTAAAAGAAATTGAAGAAAGAGGTAAAAAAGAAGAAGAGACTGCTGCTCAATTTGAAGAAAGAATGGCAGCTTTAAAACAACAGAAAGAACAACTTATTGCCAAACAAAAAGAAGTTGAAGAAAAAGAAATGACGGATAAAAAAAGAATGGAACGATTAAAGAGGAAAAGAGAAGAAGCTAAACAACTGAAAGAAGCTGGAATTGAAGTTAGTGAACCAACAATGGATGATGTTGTCAAAGAAGAAGAAGAACGTGCTAAACGACATAGACATAGTGAAACATCTTCAAGAAGAAGAAAAACTGAAGAACCTAGAGAAGAAGTCAAAACAGATAAATCTCCAAACGAAGAAAAAACAGGAGATGTTGTTGCAGATTCACTTGAAGAACGTAGAAGAAAGAGAGAAGAAGAACGAAAAGCAAGGGAGGAACGAAGAGCAAAAAGAGCTGCTGAAAGTAATGGAGAAAGTAAAAGCGAAAATACTACAACTGAAACAAAACAAGAATCATCTGAAGAACGAAGAAAAAGAAGAGAAGAACGAGAGGCTCAAAGAGAAAAAGAGAGAGCAGAAAGACGAGCAAGGTTATCTAATAAATAATGAACTGAATTATATTTTTAAAATTCATTTGTCTTAATTATTACATTTCATGTTCCTTTTTTTTACCTGATAAAATATTTTAAAAACATCATAATATTTAACTTTATTGTCTGGTTTAATTTCATTTCATATTATATATCTCAATATTATAACTACAATTCTTTATTTCATTAACTGAAATCCTTTATACATACAGGCATGTCAATGACTAAATACTCTATTCTCATTCACTACTTAATCATTTTACATTATTAATGTTTTAACTTGTACTGTTTTATTGTTTATTAAATTATTGTCAATTCATGTATTTTATTTATATTTGCAACTCTAGTACATTTAATTTATTAACTAATTTTCAGAAATAAATTTGAACAAAACTGAAACGAATGAATAACCTGCTATAACATATCCCTCACATATTCTTTTATCATACATCAACTTTAATTCTTTTAACTTAAAAGAAAACTCCAAAAGAAAAGAATGAACTGTCAACAAAAGATGATGGCAAAGATATTTTCGATGGATTAGATAATAGAAAAGAAAATGTTGATGAAGAAGATGTTGATGAATCAACAAAAGGAGATGATGAAGTAGTAAAAGATATTTTTGATGAAAACACAATGAAAAATTCACATAAACTAGGAGATGTATTTTATCAGTATGAATTAGACAATCATAAAAATGACATTTTAAAATTTAATGATTCTTCTGTCAACAACTTTAATAAAAACAATTCTCTTGCTGTTTTCATCCACATAAAAGATAGCAACAGTGTTTATGGTGGAATTATTCATAATGACAAGTCAGTACTATTTTGTAAAGAAAAGAATAAAAAGACTCTCCAAATTAAATCAAAGGGAAAGATAATAAAAGGATTTATTAAGGCATTTAGTAATAATTCTAATCCTGACACAGATATACTCTTTAAATTTAATGAGGCGTTTGCAGTTGCTAAAACTAAAGGGTCAGATGAATTACATCTTCATTTTGAAAAGAGCAGTGATTGTTATGAAGGTTATTCAAATTTCATAATACTTGAAGACCAAAACACAATTCAAAGAATCACAGCATATAACTTAGACTTTTTTATTTATCCTTTCATTTACTATCAAAGAATAAAAAATAACCCAAGAAGTATACAAATACAACATAAAGACCATACACACAATAAAAGGAAAAATTCATATTACTCAATATATCCGAGGTTGGTTGGTAATGAGAATAGATATTATTGTCATTCATTTACCTTATTTTAATATTTTGAAAGAAGTACCTGAGTTATTTAATAACGTAGTATCTTGAAAATTAATGGTTCTTGTTAGTTGTTATGTGATTCAACTTATTAACACTTCTAAAATAATTGTCATAGAATTTAATAGACTACCTTCATCCCAATATATTTTTATTTAACTCTTTATATTTATTCATTATATTCTCTTTGTTTTATTTATTTGATGTTTGGTTAACTTGTTTCAATAAAGATTAAATATACTTTTATTACCTCAATAATTAAGCAGAATTTTGCTACATTTATACATGTTGTTTTTAAGTTTCTACATATACTAGACTTTAATCCTCTATTTGGATAAATATATCTTAATAAAAAGTCTTTTTGTTTTAAGTTAGTTTCATTACTCAACACATCAACGTTTAAAATTATATACTTACTTTTTGTTATATAAATTCGTACGTATTATTATATAATTACTATTTTAATATATAGAAGTATTAAATTAATAATTCAATTTGATTATAACTTTTTCAATAATAGAAGATACAGTTTTTTATAAATAACCAAAAAAATATTGTTTATGTAGTTTTGCTGAACCTTTTTTAAAAGATTTGTTAGATAGATCACTCCTTAACTTTATTGAAAGAAAATATTAATACAAATGAAAAATATATAAAAGAAGTTAATAAACGACTACTTTAAAAATAAGAAAAGTTAGTTAATATTTTTAACAAATTATTACATGTTTTTCATCAAATTATGCAACTTTTCATATAATAAAATATTTTTATAATACAAAGAAAAATTACTTTGAAACTATTTTGAGTTGATTTCTTTTTGAATAGAATAATACATATAAGTTAAAAGAATAAAAAAAAATAATACTTCTTAATTATGAAAAATATTTAGTTCCTCTTTTCAAATAAAGCTATACTATTTTTTTATTTAATTTTATGACCCCTTCTAACAGCTAAATAATTGTATAATTAAATTAATAAAATAGCAAATTACATTCTTTTATTATTTTAAAAAGAAAATACTATCAGACATAAGAAATTAAATAAATAACAGCTATTTAAACTATAAAAGGATAAAAATTTCTTTTGAGAATGTTATTATTCATAGCAACTTTTTTTTTCTACCTTCTGATTGAGTTATCCAATATTGAAGAGTAGAAGGAGATAATCCAGAAAATATATTAGGATTAATCCCACAAAGATAATCTATAGTATGAGTTACACCCATTGTTTTAGCTAATTTTACTGCCCTTTTTTTATCCTCTAAAGACCACTTCTTCTTCTTTTTTGGTATTCTCTTTCTTTGAAGACTTTGTGGACTAGTCTTAGAAACAGAAGACTCAATGGACTGAGTATAAGATTGACTAATGATATAATCTAATCCATTCACAATAATAAATAACTCTCTTTGTGTGACTGGTTTAAAAGCAGACTGAATTGACTCCATCAACAAACAAATAAAAAAGTGAGTTCTTCCACTTAAAAACTACTTTTAAAAACATCTATTTTTCACTAAAGTATTAAACAACTTTTCAAGATTAACTTTCATTGAATATCTGATAAAAAGATTTTTCATTCAAAAAGTTGTTATAAATTTTATTATTTTTAAAATAAAATAATGAAAAAAAAACGAAAGTGGAATAAAAAATATAAGAACAATTTTTACATAGAAAAGTAAGGAGAAAAGTTCTTTATTTTAAAAGAAAGATAAAAAAAAAAGAAGGAAAAAAAAAACACTTACCTATTAAATATTTTTAGAAAAAATATTTTGATGATAATCCACTTTATTATTTATAAAAATATAAAAGCTATGAAATAATTATTCAATTACTTGATTTTGAAGTAAATCAATTACATCCTCTGCTGAACGAGATAGATTAGTATCTTCTGAATTTAAAAGAACGTTCAATAAATCTAATATCCCATTTTCAATCAAACACTCTGTTATTATAGGTTTAGTACTAGACAAATCATCTTTTATTAAGTATTGAATTCCACGAAGAATAGAGTTTACTAACTTCGGTGATTCCCATGAAAGTATTGAAAGAATAGCTAAACAAACAGAGTCTTGAGCAAAACATTGATAATTATTAAAAGCCAATAACCCATTACATAGAACCCATGCAGCTTCATGTTTTACTTGAGGTTTTTCTGTAGAAACAATTATTCTTGAAACTATGTCAAAGACATTATTTTCAATAAAAAATTTATTCAAGTCTTGTTCATTATAGTATATAAGGTTTGACATTATTAAATAAACAAACTTCTTAACTTTTGGATCTTTTTGATTTCTTAATGGAAGAATAGCCTTCAATATTTCAAAGTGTTTTGTTGTGTCTGAAGAATAAAATACATAACAAGAAATATATGCCAAGGCACTAGCAATTAATGGTTCTATAATTGAACGTTTTAGAATAATAAGACAGAAATTTTCTATTGACAATAAACTTAAATAGTCATAGTAAAATTGATTCTTTCCTAAGAATGCTGAACAATTTAAAGTATCAAGAACAACTTGTTCATTGCCAGATTTAAGAAACTTAGGTATCAATGAAAGCTGAGGGATCAATAGTGGACATTCAACTTTTAGTGAACGACAAATAACACTAAAAATCCAGGAAGCATTAATAAATAATTCACTTGTTGTAGGATATTCAGATAAATGTTGAATTACACCAAATATCCCTGAATTAATTAAGTCAGACGCACAGTTTGGATATATTGAAATATTACCAACACAATATAATACTGTCGCTACTACATCTTCTCGTTCATTTAATAATTTGTTTATTACTTCTATTAAATTATTGTTCATCATTTCTTGTATTACATCAGGTGTTCTTCCACTAGCATCAGAAAGTATCTCGGCGATTCTTATAAATACTCTATCGTCTTGTTGGTGAATATTATCTATAAATGGTGGATAAAAAAACTGAAGAGTTTGTTGTAATAATAAAGGAATTACTTGAACAGAAAATACGTCAATACATGTTGATTGGGTACTTGTCATTTTTGCAATCTCCGAAACAACTTGATTTATTAACTCTTCATTCTGAGACTCAAACGCTTGTTTCAATCTTCCATAAAACTCTGAAGCAAGGGAAGTATATCGTTTCAATGTTTCAAATGAAATTGTTGTGTTTTGAGGAATCGTATCATCAGCTTCATCAAGAATCCTCTTTTGTGATAAAAACATTTCTCTACGATTTGTTCGCTCATTTGACCTTTCATTTTTCTTGGTTCTAAGAACGTCACTTGCATCTCCAAAATGACGAAAAGACATTTATATTTTTTTTTGTTCAATTTTAAAAAGTTTTATTGTTTTGTTGAATTTATCCAAGTTTAACTAAAACAATGCATTGTGAAGTTGAAATGAATGAATTATGTTTTAGTGAGTAACTTTAAGAAAAGATTAAATTCGTAGAGATATTATTGCAAAAACAAAGAGAAGTATTAAAGAAATTTAAAAAAGAAGATTAACTTAATAGTAAAGATATTATCTAAAAAACTAAATTTGATATAATGAGGAAAGTAAAACAGAAAACTAGCAATAAAAAAACATACAAAAAGAACTGAAATAAATCACAAAAACAACATGGACGTAATTTCATCTTTACAAGAATATTTAAATTTTACATTTAGTGAAACACCTGGAATGAAAGCATTGATTATGGACTCAGATACTATTCCTGTTGTTTCTATTTTATTTGGAATGACTGAAATTATTCAGAAAGAAGTATATTTAGTTCAACAATTAAGTGACCAAACACGAGACACATTACCACATCTTAATGCTATTTGTTTACTTCGACCAACAAAAGAAAATATGGAGTTATTAAGAAAAGAACTAAATAATCCAAAATATGGAAAATATTATTTGTTTTTTACTAATTTTCTTGACTCAACTCAAATATCATTATTAAGTCAATCTGATGTACATGAAGTTGTTCAAAAAGTAATGGAATTATATGTTGACTATATGCCAGTTAATGATGATTTATTTATTTCATCATGTCCTAATTATTATTCAGTAAATGGACCAAATTCAATGAAAAATGAACAAAAAACTATTGATTCTCTTATGGCTCTTTGTCTTTCATTAAAGAAGAATCCAGCAATTAGATATCAACAAAATAGTGAGTTAAGTAAACGTATTGCTGAAGGACTTACTCAAGGATTAGAAAGACAAAAGAAAATATTTGGACCAATGAATGGTACTACGCTTCTTATCCTTGATCGTTCATTTGATCCAATTACACCACTTTTAACACAATGGACATACCAAGCAATGATTCATGAGTTTATAGGGATTGAAAATGGTAAAATAATATTAGACAATAAACCAATTATTCTTTCAAATGACTCTTTCTTTAATGAACATATGTATTTATTATTTAGTGATATTACTGATTCTATTATAGCTTCTGTAAATGAATTAACTAAAAAAGCAGGTGTAGCAAGTAAACAATATCGATCATTAGAAGAAATGAAAGAAACAATTGAACAAATACCACAATTAAAAAAAGAATCTGCAGGAGTAAAGAAACATCTTGGAATTATGAATGTTATAAACAAAACAGTAAGTAGAAGAAAAATGCTTGATGTTTCTCGTCTTGAACAAGACATTGTTTGTGGGTCAGGAAGACAAGAACTTTATCAAAATGTTATTCAATTTTTTGAAGGAGATTATGAAGTAGAAGATAAATTAAGAGTTGGACTATTATATGCTTTAAAATATGAAGATAAGGCACAAGACATCATTGAAGAATTAACAATTAAAGGAATTCCAAAAGACCGAATTCAATTAATTGATATTGTATTAAGATATGCTGGAAGTTCTAAACGTCCAATTGAAATTTTTAATAAAGTTAAATCAATTGTTGGATTTGTTAAGAAAAGTGTTGCTGGAGTTGAAAATGTATTTGTTCAACATAAACCAGTATTAGAACAACTATATGATCCATTAATTAACCAACAACTATTAGAAAAATTCCCATTTTGTAGAGGAAGTAGTGCTAATGGAAGAGAATTTATTATATACATTGTAGGTGGTGTTACATTAGAAGAAGAAGTTAGTATTGCTACAAGAAATAGAACTAATCCTACTCAAAAATTTATTATTGGAGGATCTGATTTGTTAAATTCTTCAAAATTCATTGAACAACTTGAAACAATGAAGAAATAATTAATTAATATTTCTTTCAAAAACATAAATTGACTTATTTTGTTATTGTTTTTTGGTCATCAAAAACTGCTGCAAGTTGTGCCATTTTGATCATTCCTTCTTGGGTTGCATTACATGCCAAAAATCCTGAGTTATGAGTAAAAATAGCTCCTTTTATTTTGCAAACATCTTCTAATTCTTTATCCCTTAATCCCCTCCATGGTTGTGGAAAAGGTTTTCTCATTTTGAAACTACCTGGTGAAAGAGAAGTGGCAATACATCCCCATTGACCTCTTGTGTCGTCATGAGAAATTACATACAAAACCTCTTTCTTTATTCCATTCTTTGATGCTTCTTCATCTTCTAATTCAGTTAAACAATCTCTCCAACTACATTTTTCATTTAGCACCATAACCCTTCCTTCTGAGTCATATTCAAATCGTTTACAAAAAGCAAGACGGGTTGGTTCAAATGATGGAAGAGTACGGAAATAAATACTTGAAACACATTCAATAAATTCTTTCTTAACTAATTCTTGAGCTTTTAAAAACTGTTCTAGTCTCATCATGCCATAACCTTTTGCATTTAATTTTGCCACTCTTGAAGGTAAATTAGTACTATCTCTAAATAATAGTTCTGTTGGAGATGGATCAATTCCATTATCTCCTGCATCTATAGGTAGTACAAAAGTATTATATATTTTTAATTTTAACCAACAAATTTGTTCTTCTGTAACACTTCCAAATGGGTCAATAAGAGCAATAACATTTTTAACAATTTCTTCTCCAAAGTGTTTAAACAATAATCCACACGCACTCAATGTGATTGTATGTTGTGGAGAGTATGTTTCATTAAACCCTCTTTGGTGATGGTCAAATCTATTAATTGACGGATCATATACTCCTCCTACATCAAAAACTAAATCACATTTATTTAATTCTTCTTGGTTTAATGTTCGAATAACTCTATGATGTTTATACTCATCAGTAAACTTTAAAAATACACATCCTGTTACATCGTCACAATGAAAATTACTGGCATGAGTTCCAATAATTCCTTTCATCTTTTTTATGATTCGTTTTAAATTCTTTTTTTATTTTAAATTTTTTTAAATTTTTTTAATTATCTATCACAAAATCTTTTCCAAAATTGATTTTATTTGTATTTTATTAGAACTATTCTATCAAAATAAGGTGCACTACATGAAAAACCACAGACAATATAAAAATAAACAACAAAAGCAAGATAAATTCATATCAAACAATAAATATAAATGATAGAAGAATGTGTGAAATATGTATTATCTGTATTGACAGAATTATATTAATTATTACCATATGAATCATTATCATACTAACACTACATTGATAATATTGTTTATTTCATTCATTTTCATTATCATAAATATTTAACAACAATTTTAATAGAAACAAACAGTATTATCACAATAGAAATAAATGTCAAAATAAAACACAAAGAAGATACAAACAATATCAAAACATAAATATTAAAAAATATAAATAAGTATTAATAACAAAATTTTTAAGAATTTGATTTAATTGATTTTCATAATCCTCATCATTGTATTAATATTAATGAAATATTTCATACCTTCAATTAATGATTTAATTATTAATAATTAATCATTTCATGCAATAAAACATATATTACAAAAATATGAAAGAAATAAAGTATTAATAATATTGATATATTTCAATATAAGAATATAGAAATAAAATATATTCATAAAATAAATAGAAATACACAAATAAATACAACATAACATAAAAATAATATCATTATTTACAAACAATACAATATCAATAAATGGATTAATACACAAAGAAACAGTAATAAGAATAAAGACACTAAAATTACAATTAGACTTTCCCTCTGATACATACAATCAATAATCATCAAAAATATGAAATACTTAATGTTTTACACAAATAATTCTGATAATATAACAGAAGAAGAAACAAATAATTCACACAACATCTAAATAATTACAAATTGGAAGTAGAGAATATTAAGAAACTGAAATAAATATTTACCAATAATCATAACACTAAATATATGTGTGTCTATTAATTAACCTTTTTTATTGAAACTACTTTATCTATCTTTTTCATATTTAGTTTTAATTTGTTTTATTGTTGACTCAAACAAATAAAATAACAGTTATTATTGGTTTATTGTCTAATAAATTAAATAACACTTTTGTACATAAAACAAAAATTAAAATAATTCTATACTGCTGTTATAAAAATACAAATATTCACTTAAACAATGAGCGTTTAAATATTTTTGTTCTATAAGAAATTTTCTCTAATGTTGAAAGAGACTTTGTTTCACAAACAGTTTTATGTGAATCTACAAACAGAGAAGACATCAAATTAAATACTAATTCTATATCATTTGGTTTAGATGTGTCACACTCAAAAACTTCCTTAATACATGGTTGGGCTTTCAATTTTATCTGATCATCCACAGATACTTCAACTGGATAATTTACCATTTCATTTTTAAGTCCAATAACATAAATAATAGGAATATGTTCAACATTGCTGTACACATATGAAATCCATCGTTGAGTGACAGCAATAAATGATTCTTTATTATAAACTGAATAACAAATAACAAAATAATTAACTGATTCAAAGAAAATGTTTCTAATATCATCATATTGACAACTTCCATTACTATCATAAATCACATATTCTTCATCTTTAAATCTATTCATAATTCTATACTTGAATGAAATTTTAGAGAATAATAGAGGACAATATTTCTTATTTTCAAAGGTATTCATTAGAACAGTTTTACCTATTTCATTATTTCCAAGCAATATTGTGGTATAAGTTTTCATCTCATAACATTTATTTTATCCAAAATTTTTTCTTTTTAAATTGACTCATTTTTTGATTTCTCATGAATCTCTCATTCTATTTTTAGTTATTATTTTATATAATAAAAATATTATTATATTATAATATTTCTATCTCAAAAGATATTTTTATAATTTTATTGGTGAAGATTTAAACAAGAAAATTCTATTTAAATTAATATCAGAGAGCTAAAAAGAAATTAGTCAAAAACTGATGTAATTTCAGAAATCATAAGACGAGAAAGTACAAATTGTGGTGATGTTAAGAATGAGCCATGAGTATAAAAAGAGGTGTTGGATTGATCAGAAAGAAAACTAAATTCCTTATTAAGTTTAGAATTTAAACGTAGTGTAGAACTAATAATAAAATTCTTTTGATTATCTGTTTTACAGAAAGAAAGAAATGCAAGACGTTTATTTTTAACCTTCCAAATGACTGGTGGGTTTATAGTTTTACCATTATAAAGACAAGAAAATAACACCATTTTAGGATCTTCCCATTGGATTAATGGATGTAGACTTGACATTATTTGAGAACGACTAGGTAAAGAAGTATGATAACTCCCAAAAACATCTCCATTTGATAAACAATAAAAAATTACAACTTTTTGTCGAGAATATAAACTATGAAAAATATGAGAAGTTGTAAACTCATCTTGACGTGAATCATAAATTGTATGAAACTTCTTTTCACCTAAAATAATGTACAAATATTGCTCTAAATCAAAAGATTCTTTAACAGAATGATATAATTGTAAATCTAATGTTTTGTTTAATTCTTTTTCTCTTTTAATTTGATTTCTTTGTTTTTTTAAAATTTGTTGTTGTTTTCTTTTCAAGTTTTTAGACATTGGCTTTTAGATTTATTTAATCTTGAAACTAAGAAAAGATACAATAAAATATAAAGATGAAATAAAAAAATTAAAGTTGAAAAGAGAAAAATTTGTTAATAAAAGAAAAAAAAAGAAAAATGAGAAAGAAAAGAACAGAAATTCAAAAAGAGAAAAGAGAAAAAAACCCTTTAACGTTGAGAATCTAAAAAATAAAAAGAGAAAAAGAAAGAAAATAAAAAAAGAGAAACAACAGAAAAAAATATAAAAAAGAAGAAAACCTTTTAGAATATAAAAAGGGTTTCCGAAAATCTTAAAAAGTACAGGAGAGAGAATGGAAGATATCCCAGTTTCTCCAATTCATACAAATGAATCATTTCCTAATAAATTACCACCAGCAACAAGTATTATTTCAGCTATATCAGAAGATAGAATTGAATCAGAAGAAAGTCAAATTATAAAAAAATCAGAAAGTGATAATAAGAAAATAAGACGAAAGAATAATGTCAATGAAGAGACATTAAAAATAATACATAATATGTACATAAGAGGATATAAAGCAAAAGAAATTGCTATAATTACAGAACTAACAAAAAGTACAGTTTATAAATATATTGAAAGAATGAATGATGAAAATCCACAACGAGATGATATGAGTAGTTTAATTAGAAAAAGAGGAAGAAAAAAATCAGAAAATACTTTTTTACAAGATAGAATTCGTGACTTTCTAAATTCAAATAATGGAATGACCTTAAAATGTATGAAAGATATTCTTAAAGATGAAGGTCATGATATTTCTATTAGTTATCTTTCTAAAATTATTAAAAAAATGGGATTAGGAAAAAGAGCTAATCATTCAATTACTCAAGTCAGAAGATCTAATGAGCCACTTGAATCGTTCTCATTACAAGAAACTCTTTCTACTTTTACATCTCAACAACAAGATATGTTACCTCCTCCAACAGGAAATTTTAGTCAATAAGACTAGATGTTGTATTAATTTGTTCTTTTTCTTTAAAAGAAAGTAATCATTTTTTAATTGAATTGTTTATTTATCAATTAATGTTTTTGTTGTCTAATAAGATAGAATGAATAAAAAAATATTTTACTTTTTTTTTTTAATTTTCAGTTGATCTAATTTGTAAAACAAAAAATAAATTTTTATTGATAGTAATAATGTATTTTAAATTATTTTAATTTCTCTTTCAAATTTGAGTTAAATAAAATAAGTTTACTTTTGCCGAGGAATGGTTTTAAAAAAAGAATAAGAAAAAAATATAAATGAATAGTATTAATTATGGTTCATTTTAAAAATAATTTTTAGTTCAGAGAAAAAATACAAAAAAAGATCAACTTAAAAAAACAAAACAAACAAAATGAGTCATTATACATTAGTTATGCTAGGAGGTGGTGCTGTTGGAAAATCAGCCATCACAGTTCAATTAGTTTCTGGAGTATTTGTGCAAATGTATAATCCAACAATTGAAGACTCTTTTAATACTACAATTGACGTTGATGGAGAAATGGTTTCATTAAATATTGTTGATACTGCAGGTCAAGAAGAGTATTCATCATTAAGAGATCAGTACATGAGGTCTGGTGATGGATTTGTTATTGTTTATTCAATTATTTCAACCACATCATTTTTAGAAGTAAGTGGAATTCGAGATCAATTATTTAGGGTATTAGAAAAAGAACCTGATGAACATATTTGTATGGTTCTTTGTGGTAATAAATGTGATATGGAAAGTGACCGCCAAGTTAATACTTCAGAAGTAAAACAAATTGCTGAAGAATGGAAATGCCCTTTTTATGAAACTTCCGCTAAAGAAAGGATTAACATCTTAGAATCATTCCAAGCTTTGGTTAGAGATATCAAAAAATGGAATGCTATCCCTGGCACTGAAAGTACTTCTTCTAACTCTTCTTCTAAACCTGAAAAGAAGAAAAAAGGATGCTTCATTTTTTAATACATTTAAAATACTATTGTTTTAACTAATTATTTCGGCGTATACAGTAACGAAATTCAATTTTTCTTTCTTTTTTTTTTTTATATTTTCTCTTTTTTTAATTTTTAATTTATTCTTATTTTAATATTTTTCTCTTTCTTCTTTCATTAAAACAATAAAACTATTTTTTCTTTTTAGACATCTAATAAACTTATTTTAAAATAATTAATTAATTGTTCATTTTATTTTTTTATTAACTGATTTATTAATAATTTGTAAAAAATATTGAGAATATAAAATATTAAAATCAAAAGATATAAATTAATGGCTTTTAAACGTTTGTTTGACAAACTGGTTTGAATAATTTATTTCCTTGAATTCCTAATTTTGTCCATTTACGATATTGTTGCTGTTGGTCTCTATGTGTTTTATTATTAACCATTTGTCTTCGTAAAATAGATTTGACATAATCAGCATATGTCTTCTCTGGTAAAGCCATCAATGCTTTAGAAGATCCTATTGTTTGATTAACTGTTGGCATAGAAACTGGAATTTGAGGATGTGACCTTCCTTGGTTTGCTAAGACACATGCACGTGTTTCAACTGGTTTAATTGCTTGTTTATAATAATTAGCCATACTACGATGGCCAATAGTCATTCCATTTGATAAAGTCATAGAAGTATCATCCATGTCAATAATTTCAATAGGATCAGGGACAGAGCTATAATCATAATAATCATCATATTCCTCAATTGTTTTATCATCATATCTCATTTTACAATGACAAACATCAATCATATGTTGTCTTACTGATTCATAAGAATGAAATGAAGAAGTTTCACCAGAACACCAAATACAAAGATATCCAATACAAATTTTATCATGCAAATAATTTAATAACCCATTAATATCACAACAACATTCAATATTAGGAATAAAGAAGGAATGTTCTTTTTCCATATGTGTTAAATTTTCTTCAGTGTTTTGACTTTCAATACCACAAAATAAACAATGTTTTCCTGATCTTTTTGGTGCAAGAGATTTTCTTTCTTGAATCATCTCATCAAGAGTTTGTTCTGGAATATTTTCTAAATCTTCTTCTTCAGCTTGTACCATTTGTTTTTTAATACAATCCACAGCTTTTTGTGGATTCTTTTTTACATTTATTTTATGTTTTTTACTTAATTCATGTTCTTTCATTTGATTTTCAGTATTATATCTCTTCTTACATAAACTACAATAATAACTACATTCTTCAGTTTTAAAAGAAATATCTTTTGCCATTATTTCTTTATACTTTTGTAATGAAACTGGTTCCATTAATACTGCTTTTCTTTTCATATTAAAAACATGATAATCCGATTTAAAATGAGTAGCTCGTTCTTCTGAACTACTAAATTGAATACAACAAGTAGAACAAATAAATTTTTGTTGTAAAGGAGATGACATGAAGAGTTTCTGAATGAATAGATTCAATCATATTTCTTCTTTTTAATAACCCTTGTTATTAATAGTTTTCTTTTTTATAAGTGTTTATTGAAGTATAACATTTTTTGTTTTAAGAATTTTTTTTTTACATGAAAAATGTTGAAAACAAAAAAGAGAATTGAAAGTACTATTTTGTTCTTATTAAAATGTTCCATATTCAAACATATCAATTTTATCTTCTTCTTATAGGTCTTCCTATGTTATATTGTTTTGTTCCAATTTACAATAATAATCTTATTAATAACCGAGAAGGCATTCAACCATTGTTCAATTCATTTGTTATGGTTGTTTCATCAGGAAATTCTAGTAAAACTTTAGACAATATTTCTTCTCAAAATTGTTTCTTTTTAGAAGAAACAAATAGTTCAATTATTGTCGAGTTATCTGATGGTATTAATTTTGTAAAATTTAATAAAACTATTAATTTTAAACATATTAATATTGCATTAACAACTCAGATTGCTCCAATTAAACGAATTCCACAAGAAATTAGAGAACACTTTTATTATTCTCCTTCTCACAACGTTCTTTCTCCTGGTGTAATTATTTCTGGAGAGGATTTAATTAGTGATTATAGAATAGACGAAAGTTATGATGATGATTTCTTTGAAAAGGAAAATACCCAAATTCAATCATTAGATCTAAAACAACGTTTGGGTTTAAGTAATGGTTTGGGAAAGGAGGTCTGTGTTCATAATTTAACGTTCTTCCATTTTATTGCTATTTCAGCAACAGAACTCGGTAACAAATTTTATAACCTCTCTAGTATCCCATCAATTATTTTTGATTCTGATCGTATTTTTCAAATTTATATGTCTGTGTGTTTTGCTCTAATTTGTGCCAATATGTTTACACGATGGGTTGTTCCATCAAAAGAACATCTTGTATTATATATTGGGTTTACTCTTATTTTTATTTCTTTCTATCATATTAATGGTCAATTCACTCACCCCAGTTCTGACTTAAAACAATTTGCCTCTATTAATTATTTTACCCCAATTCTCTTTTTCTCTCAAATTCTCCTTAAATACAAAAGTGTAACTGAGTTTTGTAGTGCTGTTGAAGAAACTTTGAAGTATCTCTGGGAGTCTTATTTCATTTTATTTATTCCATTAATTATTATTTTATTAGGTACTCGTTTTACGTCTGTTTGTTGGTTTGGAGTACTAATACTCTCTTCATTAATCGTAAAATTTACACCTAAAAAGGTTAGTATTATAACAAAGTTTTCAGCATTAATATGTATGGCTTATATTTTGTTGTTTGTGAATTGGGATCTTTTTAACTTTATTTGTGTAGTTCCATTCTTCTTACTGCTGATTTAAGTTAATATTTCTTTTTTTCATGTTGCTTTTTCTTTCTAAAAACATAGAGGAACTTAAAAAAGTAGAGAAAAGAATGAAATTACAATTTGATTCACTAAGTTTTAACGACAATTAATTTGTTCTAACTATTATTTTTCTTTTGGTAATTTAGGCTTTTTTTCTTGGTTATTTTCTTCAGTGACTTGTGGTTTAAATTGTTCAAGTTGATTAAGAGGACAGTCCCAAATAATGTCATTATTATCCCAACTATCATCATCATACTCTTCTTCTAACTCATCTTCAGGTTTTGTTGTTGAATTTAAAGGATGGGCATCAACCAATGAATGAATTTCTTCAATTTTTTTAGTCATTTGTTCTTGAAGTAAATTTAAACGTGTACTTTCTTCAGCAATCATTTGGGTGATTGTTCTAATTTGAGTTTGAACGTCCTCAAGTAATTGTCTTTGACGTTCATATTCCTTTTTACCTTCAATATCAACTTGGTTCTCTGTGTGTGTGAGTCTTTTGTTCTCCATTTTTTAATCATAATTCCTCGTCAAGTTCTTTTTATCCAAAAGGTTCTCAGAACATCCAAAGTTTCTCAAAAAGAATCCTCTCATTCTTCCAGTTCTTCTTAATAACTTCTTTCTGTCTCTGGAATAACTATTTCTTTCCAAATAAAATTGTTATTAATAACGAATTTAAGTTATTTGTTGGTTGTGAAATTAGTCAATAAATAGCTTTGAAGAACTATATGTGAGTAGAGTAAGGTGATTAAATTCTACTTACAAAATTTTACTAGTTGTTGTACTACTTTTTAAGTTAATTTGTATTGTTTTAGTGATAAGAGGAGTAATTTAATAATTTATAAAAATAACAGGTAAATGGAGGTATTGGTTGTTAAGTGTTAGATAATTTATTTTTGAAATTTTATTTATTAAAGGATTAATCAATTGAATATAATTTTTTTTTTCAAAAAGATGTTTATTTAATTAAAGTTTAATTTTATTCTTCTGAGATGTTTGTTTGTTATTAACATTGTTTTGTTATTCCTTTGATTATAGTTGTGTAATAGACAGGTTAAAGAGACTTATTACTTATTTTATTTAAAAATTTAATTCAATGCAATGAGTAAATATATTTATTTTAATTATTTTCTTCTTGGATTGAGTATTTCAATTGTAGGTATTAAATAATTATGTTTAAATTACTAATTAACAAAGTGCAAAGAAAGAAGTTTTAAAAGATATGAAAGATTATTAATCAAAAACAAAGTTCAAAATAAAAGAGTCAAAAGAGTGATTTTTCAAAAGACAAAAATCAACAAAATATAAAAAGTTTTAAGAAAAGAAAAAAAAACAAAAGTAAGATCTTAAAGAACTGATTTTTATAATATTATGAAAGTGATTTTAACACTTTTTATTTTATTATTAGTACAGTCAAAAGATGTGGTGGATACAGTTACATTTGAAATTAAACCATCACCAAAGAATATTAATGATTTATTAACAATACTTGATAAAGAAATTGAGAGAAAGAATAGTAGTTCTATTAAACGATATGAAGAAGCAAGTGTTAAATATCAAGTAAATAGAGAGAAATATTCATCAATGTTAATCTCATCAAAGTCTCAAATGACAAGTGTTGTAGAAGACATCAATTCAATTAAAAAAGAATTACAAACATTAACACTCAAACGGAATGCATTAGTTCAAGTTAAACAAAATACAAAAGAAATTGATCAACAAATAATTGTATTAAAACAAAACAAAAAGGATAAAGAAAAAGCTTTAAAAGATATAAATAAAAGAAGTAAACAATTACAGAAAGAATATAATAAAGTTAACATTCATTGGGAAAAAGCACAGAAAAAAAGAAGTAATGAAAAAGAATTTATCAATAAAAGAATAAATAAAATTAATCAACTAAAAGAAGTTATTTCATTGGCAATTATTAAAAATAAGGAACTTAAAGCATTATCACAAGAATTTATTAATTCTATGGTTTGTGGTAATAAAATTGAACGAGAAACATTCTTTTTAATGAAAAATAAAACTGATAAAAATTCTAAACGATTAATGAAGTTATTACAAGACGCTAGAAACCTTGCAGAAAAATTAACACAACCAAAAGCAAAAGATATTGCTAAAATGAAATTTAAAGTTCAAGTTGAAATTCTTAAAAAGAATAAGGCAAAAAGTAAGAGTAATATTGAAGAGTTAGAGAAGAAATTAACATTTATTAGTCAAAAAATACAAAATACTCTTGATGAATGTAAAATTGCAGCAGGAGTAATTAAGAGTAGTTGTGAAAGTAAATTAAATACATTAAAAGAAGGAAGAAAAAATATTAAGAACGAAATAAGAAAAGAAAAAAGTAAATTAGTTGATATTAATAACGAATATGAAAAGATAAAAACACAAATTAGTGAAGAAGTTGCACAACAAGCATTAAAAGAAGCTAAAGTTGGAAGACAAAAGATGCATGTTTGGATGGAACGATGTAAAAAACAAATAAAAGATGCACGAGAAATAACAGGGAAATTAGCTATTGAAGAAATGGAAGGATGTGGTACATATCAAGAAGCTGTTATTAATAAAAGACAAATGGTAGTTGATCGATTGGTTATGTTAAAACAAAGAAGAAAAGAAGTTTATGGGAAATATGTTCAATTATTAGAGAAAGAAGAAAAAGCAGTAAATAAACATATTGAAGAATTAAGTAAAAGTGGGGATAAATATGAAAAAAGTGCATTAGTATTTGCAAAATATGAAAGTAAAGGAGTTTTTGAAGGTAATCAACGAAGCGAAGAAATGAAGAAAAGAGCAAATGAACAAAGAAGAAAAGCAGCTGACCAAGCTGATTTAGTTATTTCAGAATGGAGAATATTGAGTAGAGAAGAAAATAAAGAAATAGAAGAATTACAAAAGAAAGCAAAAGAAATGAAGAAAGAAATCAAAGGTATTGAAGAAGGATTAATTAGAATTGACCATAATATTACTATTGGAATTAAAAAAGATGAACTACAAGAAATAAATAATGAAATTGTTATGAAGCATCAAGTACTTAAAAAATTATATTCAATAATTAAAAAAATGGTTCGACGTTCTGTTGGAAAGAATGCTATAATGAGAAAAGCAGCTATTAGTCGATTAGTTGATTTAAAAAGAAATAAAATTGAAATGAAGAAACAAATTCAAATGTTAATGAAAAAAGCAAGTCAATCACCAGTTAAAGAAGTAACACAAATTAAGAAATTAATGAAAAAATATGAACGACAAGCAGCGCAATTAGTTGGTGAAGAGATGTATATGAAACAAATGATTGAATTATGTAAAGAACGAGAAAGTGGTATTAGAAGAAGAGAAGAAAAAGAAATGAAAATCAAAGGTGCACAAAAAAGTACTCAAAAAGGATTTATTATTAATCAAAAAATGAGTAAAAAAGAAAGTCAATATAGAGAAAGTATTAACAATGCTAAAAGACTCACAAGAAAAATGGAAATTGTTGAAGATAAAGATAAAGTAATATTATCTGCTATTATTGGTAAGTTAAGAAAACGAGCAAGACATCTTGCATTTGAATTAAAGAACATTGAAAAGAAAAGAAGAGTTGTAAGTGGAGAATTAGTTGAATGGAAATATCAATTTGATCAAATGATAGCAAAAAGAAGTAATGAATATAGATTTGAACATGGTAAATTAGAAGATTTAATTGAAAGACTAAAGAAAGAAGAAGATAGTATTGTCTGTAAAGGAAGTAGAGGTTTATATGAACAAACTATTAAAATGGTAAAAGAACGAATGGGTATTAGAGAAGAGGAATTCAAAGACTTTAAAGATGAAATTCATCAAATTATTAAAGAAATTAATTTAGCACATGGAAAATGTTATAATGGAATTGTTGATGGAATTGAAGGAGATCAACAAAAATGTAAAGTTTGTGTTAATTTAGCAGAATTTATTTTGAGACAAGCAAGAAATGGAAAGTCTAAAAAGAAAATTGCTCGAATGGTTTTAGCTCGTTGTAAAGCCTCTGATAAACCTCACACTTGTTACTCTGCTGCTATGAGCTTAATGGCTAATTTTGATAGTAAAGTTATTGAAACTACCCCATTACAATTCTGTGTTCATTCTAATAAATGTGTTGTGAGAGACTGGTAAAGGTAAGTTCACTTTTTAAAAAATGAAAGATTAATCTTTTTTTTATGAACAGCCATAGTGGGGTATATGTCATAATACTAGCAATAAGTCACAAAGCAATATTAGAAAAAGGGAAGATAGTATAATAAAAGTGAGATAAATTTCAAAAGTGAAATAAAACTATTTCTCATTCTTTATTTTTATAATAATTTTTGAGTAATGAGATGTTTTTCCAATGGGGAACATACAAGAAAAGTTGTTGAATGAATGAATAATGAGGAATAAATTGTTTTTATTGTAAAGAAAAAGAAATAGAGATAAAAATTTGATGTTATACAAGAGAATGAATTTCACTAACAATAAATTGCATAATAATAAGAGTGATAAAAAAATACAAAGAAAAAGATACAAAGAAAAACAAATAAGAAATAGAGAAATACAGTGATGACAATGATTATACAAATAAGAAACATAAATAATTAATAACAGACGATAAAGAAAAGAGAATAGAAAGAATAAGAAGAAATACATAAAAAGTAAGAAGATAAAGAAATAGTATGATAATTACCACAAAATATATTCAAACGAAAAGATAAAGGAAATGGTGAAAGAAGAAATGAAGAAAGAACAAAAAGAAATAGAAATTAAAGGAAAGAAATGAATATAAAGTTGTGAGAATAATAAATAATAAAGAAAGTAAACGAAAAACACAAGAACAAACACAAAACAAAGAATAAAAATAATACATAACAAAATCAAATAAAGCAAAAAGAAGAAGAGATTAAAAGAATAACAAATAAAGATGGAAGAGGAACAAAACAACTCAAAATAAATGAATGAACAAGCACGAAAATATAGTTATGAAAGAGAAAGAAAAGAGAAATGAAAAGAAACAATCTAATTTCAATGAAATGAAGAAAATAGCGAAGAAGAAAAATAGAAGTAGAAAGAAGAAAAGTCACAGAAATAAATAGAGAAGAAGAGAATATCACTGTCTCTGAGTTAATTGAGAGGAAGTGAAGAGTTACAACAGAAGATAATAGAACAATAAAAACAAACATTGAATATGAACAAATTACACTTAAAACTATGAAAAAGCAGAAAGAATAAGAGAAGAAACAAACCATACACAAAAAGAAAATGAAGAACAAAAATAAATAATATCAAAACAACAAGATGATATTGAAAATTTTTTTCTCTATCACAGAAAGAACTGGAGAAGAAGAAAAGATGGCAATGGTGATAAACATACAACGAATATTGAGAGTATCATCAACAGTGAAGAAGAATAAAACTATCATATGAAAAAATAAAAGTAGAAAGAGCTGAATATCAAAAAAAAAACAAGAGACAATAAATAGAAGAAAGACAAGAAAGAAATAGAATAATAATTG